CAGAAAGACAGACAGACAGACAGACAAAAATTATAAAAACTATAGATTCGGACTCTGTATCGATTATAATGTCTATTTCAATAAGATTTTCCAAAAAATATTTAATGTACAGATTCGGCTTAATTAGAATTTTATTATATGTATAGATTGAGCTTTAATGATCTTAGTAGATCATGTTTCGCTGATTCTAAATTTTATTATAGCTCTATTATGCCAAAAATGTCTGTGGTGTTGTTTGACATTCCAGTAGAAGTATATTCCAATAAGACGTAAATAATTGAACAGTAACAAGTGGTCAGGTACGAGCTTAAAAATTATAAAAGTTTTGAGGCAATTACTTCGTCAAGCTATAATAAACAAGTACACTCCATCACTACAGTAGATCACTGCTGAGCACTATTGAACACTAATTGGACGCCGTCTACTGAAAAGCGTGTGACGCGTCAATATCCGCCTAGTAAAGTCCGTAGAATATTGTTAACATACTTTAAATCGATTTCCATGTAAAAGAGCCACTCATGTCCTGTGAAAGCTCGTTTATGCTAGATTATAGAATATATATATATATATATATATATATATATATATATATATAAAGCGCGTACTCAATTATATATCGCATTATATATCGCACACAAGGGGAAAGTATATAGAATTTATAACTCAGTAAGTGCAAGACGATTTCCCGCTTGATTTTCACATTTCATTTATTTTTTTCAATTTATAAAACTGCTTACTATTTAAATGCCTCGGTAATAATGGTTTTAACGTTAAAGTCAGAGAGGGAAGTAAGTTAGCTGGAAATCGACATCCTTGACAAGTTTGACATCCGTGTAAGGCAAATACTAACACACCCCTACCTTAAATAGCCCTATTTCTAGTCGGCTTCGTAAATTCGTACAGTACCTATCTCCATACTTAATATTATAAATGTGAAAGTGTGTTTGTTTGTTTGTTTGTCTTTCTTTCTCGTCAATACATGCACTGGAGTGTTTTTTTTCTGTGGAGAAAGTTGGAGAGTGACATAGGCTACTATTTACGTGAAAGACTATCTCATTCCCACGGAAAAACACGTTATAATATCAACCAACAACAACTCATCATACTGTATATAGTCTATATATTCCATACTAACCGTTAAAATGTACCTAGGGACGAACCCGAGCAAAACGCGGATCAGACGCTAGTACAAAATAATTTATGTTTGCACATATAAATATTTTATGTTTGCACACCGAAATTATAAAAAAAATGTTAAAAGCCATTCATTCATATCTACTAAAAGGTTGTGAATAGATGCGTGTAATACCTGGAAATTTGACACAAGTTTTGAACATTATTTTAATGCACGTATTAAATTATTAACTCTGCATTTTCGATACAATATTATTTATTACGGCCGAATGGAAAGTACACGGTCAATGATTTTAAAATAAATGTTTTGTGGTTTTTACCTATATGTTATTAATTATATATTATTAAATATTATTTACTGCCTCGGTGGTGTAGTGGCTAGCATTTACGGCTGCACACCCGGAGGTCCTGGGTTCGAGTCCCGGGTCGGGCCAAGTTTAGTTATTGAGTCTTTCTGTATAATAAGCCTCAGTAACAGCCCGGAGTTGGGAAGTTGGCGGTGTTTCGCTCCCGTGCCTCGGAGAGTACGTAAAGCCGTCGGTCCTGTGCCTTAACTCTCACTGGTCGTGTCGAGTGGTCGTCCCACTGGAGTATGAGAGTGACAGGAATAGAGAGTGCACGTTGTGTCTGCGCGTACACTTGTGCACTATAATATCTCCTGCGCAATTGGCTAGTCTCAATGAGATTGGCAGCCGTGGCCGGAATCGTCAGGAGAACATCATCATTCATCATCATCATTATTATATATTTAATAATCCTCCGCTTTGTTCCGGCCGATGTTAGAAGCATTGTGTGATAAAATATACTACAAAATCTTTGATTATTTGTATTCATACGTATTTAGTACTAGCATTGCTTGCGGCTCCAAACCAAAACCAAAATCTTAGGTTTTACATATTAGTATACTCTTACATTGAAGTTTTCGTATTTTTCTCAGAAATGAGACATTTTCCCGCGGTAAAAATTATCCTATATGTTGACCCGGACAACCAGCTATCACCATACTAAATTTCAAAAAATTCATCAAAATCCCTCCAGTGGTTTTTCTGTGATGCGGTAACAGACAGACAAAAATTCTAAAAACTATAGATTCGGCCTCTGTGTCGATAATAATGTTTATTTCAATAAGTATAACTATAAGTATAAGTATAACTTTACCTTATAATAATAGTATAGATTAGGTATATTATGAATAGATTTTATAATAAAAAAATTTTTGCATTAAAATTTAAATTGAAGAAAATGTTATCTTTAAACATGCATTTTATTGAAAATAAGTTATTCATACGGAAGTTCGAAGTTATTGAACTAGTAGGTTTTCCTGATTTAATCATTTATAGCTGCGACGTACGTAACACAAAATATCCGCTCGGAACCGGATGTAACCAATTTGCAATGTAGTGCTCTCAAAGGCTTTCTTATTAATGTACATACTTTGTAGAGAGAATTTACCTTTTAGAGCTTAGTGTCTAAACTTTTCCATGTTTGCTATAATATCTGTATATATACTAATATATAAAGCTGAAATATTTAAGAAGTTATATTATTTAATTATTTTTAGAATTTTCTTACTTCATAAACATATCTCTGCAACTAGGTATTAGCTTGAACAATAAAAACATATCCAGAAATACTTACCTCACAAACTACTGTAAAGATACAAAAAAAAATAGACTGCTTGGTATAGGTACATGTATGAAGTGCCTATATTTTTATTTTTATAATTTGACGGAATTATCTTGTTATTTACATGAGACACTATAATGTAGCTTCAATACTCTTCGAGTAAAATGGCTCTCCCATACGGACAGGTGGGCGAGCCGAAATTATAAGGGTTCCGTTTAAACAATTCGACTACCAAAGCCTAAAAATGTTTTGCGTTTATGACCTACTAGCATTGCCCGCGTTCATTATACTATTTTTGATAGTTTTTACCTTATTTAGTAAGTTACCTTGCTAAAATATATATAGTATTATTTACGTTTATCCCTTAAACTTAAAATCTCCATAACTCGGTTGATTTTGACCGGAGGAAAAAAATTCATGATACTTTTTTATATGTAAGTGATACTTTTTTATGTAAAATTTTAAGTTTTACACATTTTTATTAAAACTTTTTTGTCTAATTTTTTTCAACCTTTGCTGGGGGTTGCAGACACGAAAACCTTTACACATTGTTTTTGTATCATTAAAACTATATTAAATCAAATATGCAAAGTTGGCACATTTTGATTTCAGACCTTATTTGACTGGACTAAAATGTCACCCATAAGGGTCCAGTTTTGCATATAAATGCAATTAGCCCGAATAGTCGAAAGGACAGACTATTTCAAATAAAATTGTTTAAAGATATAAATAGTGTAAATTGTATTATTCCAACAAGAGCAGAGCAAATTTAGTTATATTTTATTTTTATTTTAAATAAACAACTGTTATAAACAGTTTATAACAATACCCTACATATTAAAGAGAGTTACTTCTTATGAAATGTATTATTGGAAATAAAATATTATATAAAAGTGGAGCAACACAAAGCTCTCTGTTTTCCATTGAATATTGAGAATAATCGGGAATCCGCAGATAAGGGTTGTATTACACTAATATGCGTAATTGCATCGAGTCGTTGTAATCACGAGTTCACTCGTCTGTTGAGGGTGTCGATTTATGTTGAAGTTTGTGTGTTTGTTTGCGCTAATTTCAGAAATGAATGTTCCAAATAAAATGTTTTTGGCTTAAATAAAAAAAAATGTTATTCCATTGGGAATAGTTAGTTTAACTCACAGTGTATTTATATAATTAAACTTCTCTACTAAAGTTGATATATGTTCTGGCATAAATAAAACCACAAAAGATAAGAGATACTTGTAGTGTAGCGTATATTTATATTAGCTTGAAAATATATTAATATCAAACATGAACGAGACTCATACCAACTCTGATGTTATACTAATTGGTTCTTATGCCGTGAGAGCAACGAGAAAGATGCATCTCAAGCTTTACTGGTTCATCGGTTTATTATTTGCCCTCGCTTGTTTTCTTCTTATTGCTTATAAAGCGAGCTCTTATTTATTTGAATTTCACTTAAAGCTACGAGTTTGTTATGATCTAAGAAAAAATATTTCTTATCTAAGATCGTTCCTTCTCTAAAGCCTTTCTTCCTAGCTTTAAAACTACGGAAATAAAGTTTCATTTTTACTTATTTTAGAGTCTATTTATTTTAGAGCCGATTTTTAATTATAAGATAAAAAACGTTTTAAACAATTAAATTATAATCCTACTGAGTATAAAATGAAACATTTGAAGTTTTTTATTGCTTATTATATGTAGATTTAAATATTTTTGATGTGAAACATCTATTGGCGTGCCTTGGCAGTAAAACCGACTCGTAGGCGTGACGGCAAACGGCGGCATGACGCTGTTATGTCATCATGCCCCTTTTGCGCCACCGCTTTCAACTACCTTGTGACTGCGCGCGTGTATACTATACACGCTTTATTGTAAACAGGTCTCTATTAAAAATATTTATACTATTGTCTACTCGTTTACAACGAAGCTAAAAAAAGCTAGGGCTTTCTTTATATCTTAGTTAAGTTTTTTATAATAGCAGTAATATAATAACATCAATAGATAATCAAAGTTGATCTCTAAGCAATATAAGAAAGAAAATGAATATTCCAAGCTATATTGTAGATTTTCATAGTTGTACATCCTGCAACGCCACATAACACTGCGGTAATAGAGTTCAGCTGTGGGGCGTATAAGAATCTCCGTACTCTGTCCGTTGATGGTTGGCAGGGGACCCCAACATGGTATTTCCACAATGAAATCAAGAAAAGGGATTCCACTAGTCATAACTTAGTACTTACTTGGTAAGCGACATTGACGACAGTGACATTGTCGTCCAGGGTAAATGGGGCTGAGGCTTGTGCGTCGAACTCCATGATGTCCACGCGACGATACGTAATCGTATCCTCATCCATTGCTTCTATCACTCTCTTTTGAATCGTTCTGAAAATATTATACTTATAAAAAAAGAACAAAACACGAGCACGCGCACACATGCACACACGGACATACACGCACGCACGCAGGTATACACCAACTAAAAACTAAACGCACTAAAATATCTTGAAAAAATAATTTGTTTTGTACTCTACCATGTGACTCAATATTGAGGTATTTTCATAAGCTTTCATACTTAACAAATACAATAATAACTTCAAATTGCACCTACGTCTGTTGCAGTTTTAAAATAGTATCAATAGATATATTTACTATTTAGCTCTTCTACGTGATATTGGTAAAGTAATCTGTGCTCAAATGGCACGCTTTGAAGCTATTAACAAAAGAATTGAATGAATGTACATACTTAAACATATAAGGCCCCACTTCTCTGACGACAGGTACACCCCCGGCTAACACCTCTGCCTCATTGGTAATGTTAAATATCCGCACGTTTGTCTGCACTGGGAACGGCACTTCTTGGAATCTCTCTAGTTGTTCCGTGTCATTCAAAAGTTGCACTTCCTAAATAAAAATATCATATAAATCCATTATTATTAGGTCATATTCTAGTAAAACTTCAACCAGCAAATATATAATTAACACCCTTTAGAAAAAAATATTTGGGCACGTTTAGGAAGTTTGGCCGATTAATAAATGCGAGTGTAGGTCGCTGTTCTTCAGTTTTTGGGCCATTATAAAGAACATATGTCCTAAAGGAGTAATAAAACCCGATGGAAAACGAGATCCGATATCAAATGTAGGTACCTGGTTCAAAAGTGATCTTTATCATACTTCGCCCTGTAAATTGTTTGTAAGCAATTGTAAGCAATAAATAATACCGATATGTTCATGCGTAAAACAAGAATAAGTCAACGAATACATTTTTGCATTTATAATACAAATAAAGATCTTAGATATGTAAGTCCAATCTTTTGTTGTTGTTGTCCATTGTAATGGTCTGGTCCAATGGACCAAAACTGGTCGACGTAGCTAGGGCCGACCTCGGCACCACACCCAACATAAATAATAATAATAATAAGTCCAATCTTAAAGTCTACGTAAACCAAAAGTTTGACATGAAACCTCTTGACCCACATTGTGTCAGTTGGCATTTAATGTAAGGTATACGAGATAATCGAAATATTACATACAGATTCATAAATAAAATTAAATAACTTACAAAATTAAAAGATTAAAAGAAATCATAATCAGCTCATAAGATACCGCTACATGTAAAAATAAGGAAGGCCGAAGGCTATATATAATAGTTGAAAAATAACTGACTAACTGACAATATCTGTCCGAATGTTCTGTGGTCATACACCTTTATTACAGCCATAGCCCTTTGTTTTTGAAATCTAATTTAAATGTATAATATATTTCCATATATTTTAAAAATGTGTACACGTAGCTTTAATTATATGTATTCTATTTGGTAAGTGATTACCATGGCAATGTCATTACCAGGATAGAGTTTATGTATAAGCCCAGAAAACGGCTGAAAGTTTAAATAAATAAATTTAATGAAACTCACGCCTTTGACTATGTTATTTATAAGATCTGGGACCAAGCCAAAGCTGAGGTAGCTAGCGGCCGCCACTAGCACCACTCCTAATACCGTGGTGGTAATACCACACGCCAAATTACACATGACTATCCTGTCACTGACTGTACCGGACTGATTGTGTTCTTATGCGATATCTAATTGATAACTTACATTCCGTTATTAGGGTTCTCTGATTTGATGATTAGATTTGAAGAAATAATTTAATTGATAACACTTCTGGATACGTCTTTGAGTAAATAGCAAAGAATGCCCGCTTTTTACTATAGTACCTGGGCGTTTTGCGGAAAATATATGAAAATTGCGTTTTTTAGAGTAGATACCTATATAGATAAACTTATAAAAGGAAAAATTTTCTAAATACACAATTTGATCCAAATCGTTCTAGCCGTTTTCGAGATACACGAAGTAAATTTATATATTTTTATTATCTATGGAATTGCTCGTTTTCGCTTTTTATTATCTTATGGCGATATGCAAACCATATTGTTTGCAATTTTTATATAGATACGGCATTTGACACTCGTTCCTTTTGTCCACTGTCACGATATAGCTCATATTAATCTCATTGTTAATTGCGTTAATACGGCTGTTGTCGACAGTACACTAGTACCTGATGCTCTGAAAAATCTGGTTCGTAAAGGCTGTGGCTTTGTACCAGATCCAAATGAAAATGTAAACAGAGATTCAAATAATAAAAGCGCATAGAATTAAATAAAACCTTCATTTCACTACTACGTTTTTATATACAAATATTTAAATCTTGTTTTTTTATTATATATTTTCAATTATACTTATAATAAATGATTTTTTGAATTATATTTACTGATAGTATTCAATAACTGCTTCTTAGAATGTACAATGAATGAATGAAATTAATGTTCTTAGAGTGTTTGAATATGTGAGGAAACCTGCATGTCTGAGGGAATCTAGCAAGTTTTCGAAAGACATGTTAGTCCGCCAACCCGCACTTGGCTAGCGTGGTAGATTATGGCCTGATCCCCCTCGTATGGAAAGGAGGCCCAGCAGTGGGACGTTAAAAAGGGCTGAATACATTTGATAGTAAAACGAAATAGCAACTCGGAGGACGAGAGTACAGAACCTAAGGTAACTGTCCCATTTATAATGTAAAGGAGGATTAAAATAATCAATTACAACATTAAGAATAATTATTTGCTAACCGCGATAAAAACTGGCGATTATCGCGATATATATTGCTTAATAATTGTTTTATTTATTCCATTACCTTATCTATATTCTATATTAATATAATTAAAAAGTGTACAGCTTTATCACTGAAGTGCTTTCAGTTGCTCGTAAAAAATAGGGATGGCCTTGTTAGTCAACAATTTTAGTTCTCGCTCAATAGGGCATTCCAAATTAATCATTTGCATCTATTACATTTTGCTTTTCTTTGCAGATATATAAAATTGAAGTGTCTATTTGTAATGTCAAAATAACACCTTTTTACTTATCCATTTGAAATATTATCTGGTACTTCTAAGAAACAAAATATTTTAACATTTTTTATCTCTATGTCTGTCTTTTGTTCCGGCTAATCTCTGAAACGGCTGGACTGATTTTGACGAGAATTCGGTCAGATAGCTGATAATAAGAGTATATAAAGTAAATTAGGCTATTTTTATTTTAGAATAAGAATTTAGAGTTCTGGTCACAAAAATTAAAATGTAAGTACATGAAACAAGAGTACATCGCTAGTCTATACACACAAATAAAAAGGACATGGGCGACCGAGCTTCGCTCGGAGTTTTTAGCGTATAGTACAATTTTATTTAAAAAAACTAAACTTGAATAAATAAATACAAAAAAAAAACAAAAGTAAAAACTTTGTATCCGACCGGGACACGATTAGATTTGTTTCACTGGCAGATAGCTGATGTTATGAGGAGTAATTAAGGCTACTTTTATTTTAGAATAAGAATTATAGTACCGCGCAAAAAAAAATTAAAACATGAAATCGTGAATAAAACCCGGGATGTCCCGAGCGAACCGATGGTACCTACGTCGCTAGTTGTAACTAAACTTGACATTACTAATTTCTAAAATATCAAAATAAATCCGCGAAATAATCCGAAAAGATAGTTTTATTTAATAATACTTAATAAGCTTAAAATTTAAAACCGATGTGTACTTATTTTAAACAGAATTACAAGCACTTTTAAATATTGAATTCTTACGTTTATATTAACATAAATTCGTGTAAGAACCACCAGCTTGGGATGCAGTTCCGTTGAGAGGAGCCGAGAAATTCAACAGATGCTCTTTGAAAATGTTGTTACTTATTTATATTCATTACACAATATTTAAATAGCTGTTCTATAAAAAAATCGGTCGAGTCTTAGATGAACGTATGTTTTTTTAACTTGTAAATATTATTGGTAAAAAACCTTTGAACTTTAAAATAATGAAAGCTTAGGATAAGCTTTATTTCTTGTTTTATAAAAAATAGTGACAGACTATTTTTACACTAAAATCAATAATATATAACCAACATGTAGATAATATTATATTCATATAATCTTATTAATATTATAAATGTGAAAGTTTAGATGGATGTTTAATAAATAAATTTGTCACACAGCACCATCTAGTTCCATGGTAAGCTACGAGGCTCGTGTTATGGATACCAGATAGGTGATACACTACACATAATATACGATTTTAAACACATACATATTATAAATATAAACACCCATGACTGAAGTACAAACATTTGTTCTCTTTACACAAATGAATGCCTCCAGCGGGACTCGAACCCGCGACCGCTGCCACATGAAGTAGGGTACACTAAAAACTGAGCCAAACGTGTCGTTTTATGTTTGGATGTTTGTTACTCAATCATGCAAAAACGGCTAAACGGATCTGGATGAAATATGGCACAGAAATAAATTATAGTCTTGAATAGCACATATGTTACTTTTTATCCCGAAAAATGTACAGTTTCCGTGGGATAGATTAGCATCTGTTTCGCTAGAGGTGAACCTGAGCGAAGCGAGGATGAACCGCTAATATGTATATTAAGAGAAACTGCAAATATTATCCAGTAATTATGCAAACTTCCTCACAGAAAGGGCGTATCAGAGTAGAAATATACTTACTATTTTTCCTGTAATATTTGATCTATAAGTCCAATGGTAAAGTTAACTTTATCGTTAACTAGATACAGTCTAATATGTTATTTCTTTTATCTTTATAATGGGTAATATAAATTCAAGACAATGTTTATTTCTTTACAACTAGCATCTTCATTTCTATTCGAGTTTGAAAATTAATCATTGTATCATTAGCAAAGAGAGATAAAATATCATATATGTAAGTTTTTGATATAGCTAGGTAAATCTTTTACCTTTAAGAATCAACTATAGAAAGGGCTGTTAAATAGAATCTCTTGGAACACCTATAGTAAAGGAAATCTAGAAGATTATCATATAATTATTATTTACATCGACTTCCAGATTTTTTGGTTTAGATACGAAGCAAGAAGATCAAGAGCAGCTCGGTATGCTGTACGGTGTGCCAAACCGTTCTCATTGCTTAAAGAGTGCCACAAAAATATCACAGAGTTTTGCTATTACTCTCACGCCACGTGTCATAAATATTATACGTAGAAACCGACCGCATTTTACCCTTGGATGTAGCGTGGGCGTCGAGCTAGAGCTAATCAATATCGTAGACACCAGAAGCTACAATTATAGTCTACTATCACTAATATTATATACAATTGCAAAATCTTGTGAATAAATGATTCTAAAGTCTTCATTTCTGTCTTAGATTAACGATAAAATTTGATATTTTAAATAAAAGCATTTTTTAAATCTATATAATATTTGTACATATATTATGAGGTTATATAGTATACCTATAGGTATATGTATCAATGAGAATTTTTATAGGCGTTCGCGTATTCAGAACAAACCATAATTTTATTTAAACATGTAATCAGGATTGATTTTTTAGATTTATGATTTGATTATTATAATTAGTACACCGGTCTTCTTAATCTGCGGCGTTACCAGTCATCTCATTTTGCCTTGCCTATGTAACTACATATCGATAGTGCTTAGAAAAAAACAATTACTTACAAAAATATACCAATATAATATACCTATTAAATAACACACATTTTTTTTATTATTATAGGAATAATCTATTTATTAAAGAAAAGGTAATTGATATTTCGATTAAATTGCAAGTTAATATTGTTAGATATAGCGTAGTATACACATTGACATGTTGAGTTAGCCTTTAAAATTTTGTGAATGCATTTAACATTTAATATATGTGTATGTAATATATACAAAATATCTTAATCTTTTTTCTTTGTTGGGAAATGCATTGGCTTCCTATTTTAATAAAAAAAAACCCAAAAATATTTTAAAAGATGTAAAGCAATCGGCATACTGATGTAATAAGCTAATTATTTTAAATCGCTATTTGAATACCAGATAAAGTTTATCTAAATTGCGACACCTAACATAAATTTATTATCTAAATCTATACTTAACTTATATAAAGCAATAGATTGTATTTGTTCGTTTGAACTCTGTAACTACCAGTCCTGTTTGAACACTTCTTTTTGTATTTGTCTCATTTTTATTAGAGAAGGTTAAAACCACACTAAGATGTTAAGAAGCAAATAATAATAACTATGGTTATTATACTTTATACATCAAGGTGGTAGCTATTAAGTAATTATAATTTTTGAAAAACACCAACATCTGTTGATGCATTAAATTCATATTATCACGATGACGAGTTCTGATCTCGATGTTATTGATCGCAACAAACCTGTGTGTACCATTTAGGTGCGGAATTACCTTGTAAAATAGCAGATGTTATGTTAATACACCAGCAGATAGCGCTGTGATTCAGAAATCACAAAATATTATAAATAGATATTACTTGAAATCTTAGATGAAGGCTTCGTCCTACATATTAGTAGCACAGATCACATAATACTATACAATAAAGGTAGATACTAGTACAGATGCCTTATCTCATACAAAGAAATTGGACAGCGCTAATTCGGGCTATTTTTGGTTACTCGAAAAGATAATAGATTTCAT